AAAAACATACTTAGGAGTTTTGTTAGACCCCATAATTAGTATAGATACTTCAGTAATATTGTTAAGATTTTATTTTTTGTCAAATTCGAAAAACAAACCTAACATTAGTAAGGTTGGTTAGGATAGAGTAGGGCAAGTTGGGGCCCTATTCATTTGAGAAAAGATCGATAAAAACTTGATCAGCAAAGGATCAGTTGCCGATTGAGGTATTAAATTAGGAAGGGTCCAATGGGGACTAAGTTTGGAAAATTAAAATAGAATGAAAAAAAAAAAGAGTGTATTGGAAAAAAATGATAAAAGTTGAAGTTTAGATTTTTGGTTATAGCCAAATGCTAAGACATTTCTCTGCTATCAAAAATCTTCTGAGAAGATGCGTAATGAATGACCCTAAGAATTGGTCAAATGAAAATAATGGCGGTATCAGGGAAAATCGATCAATTGTAAGAGTTAAGGATGGCAATAATTAAAGATACGTCTACACTATTAGATAAATAGTGTCATAGTGTATCCAAGAAATTGAAAACATTAAAGAACCTAAACAAGTTAAAATACCAAACAAACTATAGGAAAATCCTCTGTGTGGAATTTCCTAACGGCATAAATCTGACGTTAAGCAAAAATTCGGACCAGGTAGTCGGTGTCCTTGTACAAGAAGTACTAAGATGGATCCGGAAAGATTTAATCAATTAAAGCGCTTTCTTCAAGAACAAAATATTGATCCGAGATTGTCCAAGAAAGAAAGAAAAAGACTTATAAATAATGGGCAGATATTCTTCTTGAAAGATGAGATTATTTTCAGAAACAATAGCAGAAACAAAATAAGCTGTTGAGGGTTATTCAAACCCAAAAAGTGGAACCAGTATTATATCTGGTTCATGATCACCTACTAGGAGGTCATTTAGGGATCGAAACCATGTTTGAAAAAATAAGGCAACTCTATTACTGGCCTCAATCATATGAACGAATACGGGAGTATGTGAAGTCCTATAACCAATGTCAACGACAAGATAAGCCCCGGCTGACTACTCCCTTACACCCTATACCGGTCGTGGCTCCTTTTTATCAGGTTGGTATAGATATTGTAGAACCACTACCTATCACATCTAGAACAAGTAGGTATATAGTGATGGCAACAGATTATATGACTAAATGGCCGGAAGCTAAAGCTATAAGTTCAGCAAATGCTCAGAAAGTGGCCGATTTCTTGTACAATGAAATAATTTGCTGTCATGGATGCACTGAGTTGATCCTGTCAGATCGAGGAACTCATTTCCAAAATAAGCTAGTTCAGAAATTACTGGAAAAGTTCTAAACTAAGCATGTCTTGTCGATGCCATACCACCCGCAGACAAATGGGCTAGTAGAACAGTTTAACCAGACCCTGTGCGAGTCGATTGCCAAAACCATGGAAAATGCGGCAGATTGGGATTTAATTATCTCATCTATATTGTTTGCCTATCGAACTTCGAAGCATTCTACTACAAGGATAATGCCATTCTACCTAATCTATAGTCGAGATGCAAGACAGCCTATTCAATCAAGTGAAAGTGTTGGGGAAACTATAGCCCAAAGAGTTTGAGGGCTAGTAGATATGTTACCAGTAATCCGCCAAGCTGCCATTTTTCAAGTACAAAAGGCACAGAATAGGCAAAAACAGCTTCACAATAGAAAAATTCGGAATATTACTGAGTTTGGAATAGGAGAAAAAGTATTGGTATACTGTGCATCCCGACAATATAGTCGTAGCGTAAAGCTTGAACTGAAATGATCAGGCCTATACTATATTCATCAGGTTTTTGACTGGAATGTAGTCAAGTTGTGCACAATGGAAGGTCAAGTCGTATCAGTCCCAATTAGTACTAGTCTAATTAAAAAGTATAGAGATTGTCAAAGAAACACCGAAGGAGAAAAGATATTAAATTAAGGTGTATATTGCGTGATGGAAAGAAGTAAGGGATGAATGATGTTTTAATAATAAGAGTGTGATTAAAAAAAAAAAAAAAAAATACATATATTATAAATAGTAGATCGAAAGAGGGTTTCTTTTTTTGTATATATAGCCAAGTTTAAAACTTTGATTCATTTTATCTTTACAACTTCTAAAAAAAAAAAAAAAAAAAAATGGACAACTACGCAATCATTAGAAATATAACCTCTCCTGTCCCTTCTGGTGTTCTTGTAACTCCACCTCTATTTGTGGCGCTACCTCTATTTGCGGAGACCTATGATCTCGTAGAAAGCGTGGACACGACTCGTACGGCCTTGCTGCGGGCCATTCGGTTGAAAAATAGAATTGAAACTTTGGTGTTTGCCTATTTTCTCGGCATGTTATTTGTAACTGCTACTCCCACTCAGCAAGGAGCCATCCAAAGACAAGTAACTCAACATTATTATCGTGCGGCTAGGCGTGTCTACAATGTATTTGCTCCTCTTGGCGTTCAGCAAATTTATAGCACCACTATGGTTACTTTTAATACATTTAGATTGCTGTTGAATGAAGATATCCAACAATTGGTCCTCTAATGTTCGTGAAACTCACATTTTAAGTCGGGGGTATTGTAATCCGGAAAACTCAGACTTTCGGAAATTTTAATTGTAAGCAGTAGGGCAAAAACAGGAGTCCTGGGATAAAAACCGATAAGGTATTCAGAATTGGTTCCTTACCCCCTCTACAAGCCCTTCTAGATATATTTAATCATATATCGAATTCATGTTCTAGATTACGCTAGAGCCAAATTCTGTTAACTTACTCTCCTTACTCCTTAATTTGGGCTTCCAACATTAAGGAGTATATAG